AACAGATTTCTCAGGCCTTCAGCACTGGCCCACCTAGACCTCCTTATTATTATTTTCATTAATGAACTAAAAGAATCCCACCACAGTTAATAAGAAGCTTTTTTTCCCACCTGCCTTAGCACAAACTTGCAGGTCATTAACTCCTCTCCCACTAGAGCTGATAAGGCCATTAACACACACAGTGCTGACAGGGAAGCACAGCAGAAGGAGGTTTTCCATCACTCTGTGTTATTTCACTGAGCATCACAATTCAAAAAGAAATCTCTGAACTGATAGCAAAATCATTTCAATTCACCTTCCCCCAGCTAAACATTAATCAGTCTCTAACTTGGTCATCGTACCAACATAATTTCCCAGAAAAAAAGCCTCTACATGTCTTGACTGCTGAACAAATTGAGCCAGGAAATAGCTTTCTGTGTTTTTAAACAATTAATTGATTCTGTGGCTCTGTGGTTGCTCGTCGATACAACAGTAATTGGAATCATCATGACTAATGCACAGTTCACTTTACAGGCCTTTCCTATTTGCATAAACATCTCCTTGCCTCACCTCTGATGTGCCAGGCCAGGATGTTTCCCTTAGTGCAGTATTAAGAGAATTGTTAAGCTGCATAAGCAGTCCTTGTTAGGCAGAGCAAAAAAATCACATGTATGCTTTGGTTTATTAAAAACGTCATTTAACTTGGTATTAAAGCATTATTTTGAGTGTGTCTGTCTGATTATGTGGGCCCTTATAGTGGAACAAAAGCCCCCTTTTTCACCTTGTATGTATTATCAGCCATTTTTATACTGAAAAGGCGAGATTTTCAAAATGCTTTCCACCTTTCAGTTATCAGAAGATGGGCCTTGGTCCTCTCAGGGAACCAGCCCTTTTTGGAAGCATCAGTTTGGACCTCTGGCGTCTCCCTTCTCACTTTTGCAAAACCTGAAAATAAAGGCCAGTGTACTCTGTCCTTATCAGAAAGAGACACTATCCCACCTCCTGCATAGATCATGTGTTCCTGCTGCACCTTCTCATACTCTGATATTTATTAGCAAGCAAATAATCTGTTCCTCAAAGACTTTTATGCTTTCCCTTGCCCTCGACTTGTACCTGCAAAGCAATTGTGATTCCAGTTGTGTCACTATTAAATATGCCATTAATTACTTCAGGAAGACATTATACCATACTCAGAACAGACTGTAAACATTTTATGTCATTAGGTAATGCACTGAGGCTGTTTTTAATGCCATAACAGCTCTATTTATATACTATGTTCTGCATAATTAGCTACTAATGAGGCTCTAACTTTCACTGCTGTAAGGCCTAGATATCTGTTCCTCTTTCAATGAATTCATTTTTGCTGTCTCATTAACACACTAAAACACCTGAAAATTGTATTTTAATTAAAAGCTAAACTACCTCTGTCTGGAGACACTAATGAACAGATACACTCCAAGGGAAACACAAGAACTTTGTCAGTCAAGAGGACAACATCCTTGCCAAAAGAACAGCTCAAAAAAATAGCACAGCTCACTCTCTTATTTTCAAGGGCAGGGGCTTCTCTACTTTCCTCCCCCATTTTTTTTCCTTCTCTTAATTTTCTCCTTTTTTTTTTCCTGCCTTGTGACCAACTAATCTTTAAAAATAGCCAGAATTGGTTTTGTATCTTCAGCAATGCTGCCTGCCCTCAGACTGACAAATTGCAAGCAAGAACCTAAAAACCAGTAAGACCATCCTAAAGTCATAAGGGGTGTGTGTATTTTGAGTCTTCCTGATGCTTTCTGTTCCCCTCAGTCTTCTTTTCTCTGTAGCTGCAAGGGCTACAAACATAGCAGCAGAAATTCATCTAATTACATGACTTCACAGCCACTGCAATAAAATCACTAGTGCTGACCACGGGGTTTCATTTCCTGACTTCTGTGAGCACTTTAAGCAATTAATCAAGCAACATTCTAAAATAGATCAAATCATCAGGTAGAAACAGTGTTTCCTGTTCTGGAGAAGGAACAGCATCCCACTGATCTCACCAACACACAAAGGCAATTGATTGTAACTTGTTCCACTGGTAGAAGCAGAGACTCAGTTTTGGAAAGAGACCTCCCAAGACAACATATAAATAAAATGGTACCAACCCACCAATGACAGGGATACAGGAATCCAGTGACAAATGTTGCCACAACACACATCTCCGCTCTCCTTCTGCCCCACTTGAAGTTATTTCTAATTGGTGCTTGACAGATTTTCAAAATCACTAACAAATTGGTCCCACCTCTTCAGAGCCCAAAAAAGAACAGTCTACACTTCAGCATTCTAAAACACAGTGCTCCTTGAAGGTTCATTATGACATTCATTTCATTTATGAAGAGTAAACACCAGTGAACTCAATTTTTTTTTTTTATGTTGCTTTTCAGGGAAAAAAGACCCCCTTATTTTAAAAAGTGAAGCATTGCTTTTGGCTTACAAACACCTCAACTTATGAATTGATTTGATTTTAACAATTTGCAAGCAAAGCTCAGTTTTTGTATCAACGAGAAATTAAGAGGCAGAGTTCCAAGGAGTGGAAGTTAAACAGCAACACATTTTTGAAGAACCTACTTGGAAGCCATCTCAACATTTAGGCTCCTGAAAAACCTTAAAATATTCAAATAGCTTCCTCATAATGGTCTGTTACAATGTAGGTAACTCAGACAAAATATTTTAACTAACAGTTCAAATAGTTTTTTAAATGCATGTTAACTACCTAAATATTTTTTTCAGCACCTACTCTATGTATACAGTATGACTATTGTTAACGATTCAGTCCCTAGAAATAAATAATGAAGTTTCCTCTCATACTGATTGCCTCAACTAATGTTCCAAACTGTGAAAACACTTCTCCATCTGCAAGTAAATAACCCAGGAGCACGACAGTATAAATAACAATTGGCATAGAAGAGAAAGACCACAGATGTGAGGAAGGAGAGCTTTTGAAACAATATATACAGTTCTAGAAATATTCAGGAAGGAGATCAGTGTTCATACACCTAATACCCATAAGATGCTACAATTAGGTGACAAAGAAGGGACTGTATTATTCTTACTGGAAATTCCTGGTAAAGTCATATCAGAGAAATGCAGCAGAGGGAAGATCATCATGTAAAGATTTCTGGATTAACTGCCTGCTTCCCTTGCAAACACAGGATTCTGAGCTTCCCATTTTGCCTCACTTCTCAGGATAATCTGAAGCTCACTCAGTAGATGACACCAGACCCCTACACACTGCCAGGAGTCTTGAATTTGGGCACTTCAATCCCATGTCCTTAATATGAAGAGTTCCTTAATCTCTCATGAAGCATTTTCCTAATATTAAACTAAGTGTTGGCATTGGGAATGCTTAGCAGCCCGTTCTCCCTAAAGATGAAAATCCAGAGTAAGCCAACTTAATTAAGAGTTAATTCCCTTTAAATCACAGCCTGAATTGTTCTCTCTGATCAATTATTTGTGGCATGCAATGATTTACAGGACACAGGGGCAAATTAATATAGGTGACAAAAGTGATTTCAACTCTCCTCAGAGATATTCCATCCTGTTTGCAAAAAACTCACATACTAATAAAAAGTTTTGGCCTCCTTACAAGGCCCTGTATTCTGACTTTGATATTTCTTCACATTGATCCCCAATGCCATTTTCATTCTATTACAACCCCCTCTCTTTTCCTGCTTGAAGGGATAATCATCAAAACTGTCTTTGAAAAGGATGCATCACCTCCTTAGGAATCTCTGAAAGTCTTCTGACTTCAGCTCCTGGAAAAGTGCTGCCTCCTTTCAAACACTTCACACTAGGACTGTCTATCAATAAAGTTCCAATGAATTAACATTGCTATTGCCCTTCAGTGGAATAACTCAACCCAAATGTTGATTTTTTTTTTTTAATGGTGAATGAAAGATTGCGCTATTTAAGCAGCTGAATATACAAAAGAAGCTACACAATTAATCCAGAACATTTAAATTTCTGGATATTACTTTTCTAATCTCTTGGTATGAGATTCTGGATCCAGCATTAAGAGGTAGTAACAGCTGCTAATAATTTATTTTTTATTTAAACCTCATGCAAACAAAAAGAAAGGCTGGGGAGTACTAAGAGATAAGTCTTTCTGAAAAAAAAAATACTAAAAACGAAACTGTTTTCCATGATCAACTATGAAGGCTGAGCAAATAGATTTAGAGCAGCAAGTTGCTGTTTGGAAAAAAAAACTTTAGAAAGTATTTTAATGTATTCTGAATATCAATATAGTAGGATATGAGACAGATAGTAGTCTTCAAGCCAGAATTATGAAGAAGAAAGAGTCATTTAAGAGGATCTATGGCTTTACTCTTCGAATATTCTCTTGAATTATGTACCATATTGCACAAATCTGATCTATTACAAAGGCACCAAAATTGCTTTAGGAAGCATTTCCATCTCTCTTGTTGATGAGGATTATCTGTTTATAAATTACAGGATGAGTAGCTGACATATTTTAACAAGTGCTTCTTGTAAATCCCAAGGAATCTTTTTCAATATACTACCGGATGATGATTTTTAAATGCTCGAGAGAGTTTTCATTTCAAATGTGTGTCTTTTAATGAGCCACAGAAACACTGACACAAGCAGGATATTGCACATGATGAAGAGCAGTTCAAAGAACCACAGCTGCAAGAAAGCACGGTTAGAAAAACTAGGAAACATTAGAAATACGTAATAAAAGATAGGGCTCTGCACCCGTATTTAGGTCATCAATAAATTTATCAAAACGTTGCCACACGATTTAGGAATACAAGTTATTTTGAAATTAACTGGTGCAATGCAACAGCTGAACCACTGTTTTCCAGTCTGTGGTCCGGAGACTCTTTGATGTCCATGGATTGATTTTGGAGTCCCATGAAAGGCTTTGCTTATAAAAGCAAGACTGAATGAACTACTAAACTGGCCAACTGCTTAGTTATCTCAGGTATTGATGACCTGCACGTTTCCAGAACCGACAGCATGACAGCACTTACATCACAAAGCTGAATTTTCAGCCAACCATGTGGACAGACATCTACTCTTGAGTTTCCACTGTTGTCCTGAGTCGAGGCCAAAAAAGTGCATAAAGTCCCATATTGTTCAGAAAAGATGTTATTACCTGAAAGCAAACAGAAAATGCTAATATTAAAAATTTATATTCTTGATCATGTTTTGTCCTAGTCACTGAATTAATTTGCTTCACTCCAGCATATGCTTGCTACATTTTCCTCCCCTCTGCAAAACCAAACCTGAATTATTAACTGTTTAAGACTATTTTATAAGAATAACTCTTAAATCAAAGTGGAAGGTGAGATCCCTTATCTATTTAGGTAAAATACAACCTTTCCACTGCCCTGTGCCCCACCACACCTCTGTGCTGTCTATACAGCATTTTAATTCCTGTTCTCTGTCAGAGAAGAAACTGGTCATCCACAGAGAACACCAAAGAATTTCCCTCTGTCTGCTGCACAGCACTGAACACTGAAACAGCAAATTGCAGGAAAAGAACCATTATCAGCAAATATTTTAACAAAGAATGATGGAGCTGGTATTTTTCACATGAGTAATTATTATACTTGTCCCACTGTCATCTGATTATGCTTGAAAAATGCCATTAGTCAATGAATCTTCTGGTGTGAATAAGGATAACTCTCATGAAGTTGAAGAATTAATTTCCTGACAGTTAATTTTAATATACAATAGGAGCATTTCAAATGGACTATTTACACAATTTTAATCTGGATAAAATAGAAAATGTCACCTCAATGCTAATACAACATTCCTGTAAATTATACACATTTTTAAAGCTAATGAAGTTGTCATTCTCTTATTAAAATTAGGCATAGCAATTATTTTTTAGCTGTCATCGTGACTTTTAAAATATTTTGCAATTGAATTACTTTAATTCATTTGTATTACTTGTAGGCTGTATGAAAACTATTTTTTTAATCTTGCCCATTAAGATGAATGATGGTATTATGCTTTATTACACATGTTCAATCACATTCAAAAAATTTGGCTACCTTCGTTTCCCACATCAATATGGATTCTTTCAATCCCAGCCTCAGTGAGTTCAGAAACTAAATTTCAGTGGATTTCACTGAAGCAGGTCTAAATAATGAATTCATGCTGCTAATGATAAGGGTCAGGAATTACATTTAACACTACATTTTTCAATAGTTTACTGGTATGTTTGAAACCAAATGATCACAAATACACTGCTTTTAATCTAAATTTAACTAGGTAAACATAGGTCAGGCCTTAACTAGTATGAAGAGACATCTCTTCATTTGAAGACTTGATCTTTTCCCTTTATCTCAGTACCTATTGGCTGCATTTATAACCAGGAGTTCACAAACACAATAACAATATGTGCTGCTGCTGGGCACCATCACGAAAGCAGTAAAAAAGTAATCACCTGGTAAAACCTGGTAATTAAAATCACACATGTTCACACAATCGCCCTCTTCCCTGCACATCCCTGGCATTCATTCTTGTTCCTTGTGTCCCTGCACAGGCATCCCCAGAATGTTCCTATCCAAGAACCGGGTGAGCCTTTTCCCTGGCAGAGAGGAGGTGGCTGAACATGCTCCAGACATGTTATATCAAGACATCAGCTCATACTCCCCTTTTATTTACAACAGGGTAAATCAGCAGTAACTGCACAGTCGAGTCCTACCAGTGTTGTTAGTTACAACAGAATTTCTCCCACTGGGATTTTACACACAAATTCCTTTTGCTGGAGACAAATTTGGGAAAATATTGCATTCCTCTCACAGGCAAGTGATGGATTAGACAGCCCCAAAGGATGTTCTGGCTCTGTCATGGTGCTGTTGTGCTGTTTGCTTTCAGATTTAGGCAGCTTCTTAGCAAAGACCTATGAGTGTCATTTGCTGCTACCAACACAGACAGCTGGAAATGTCCCCTGAATAATGGGGAGCCTTCAGTCACTGGAAAGACTGAAGCAGCAATTCAAGATTAATGTGCAACTAAGTGAGAAAAAGGCCTGCAATTAATCAGATGCTTCAGTAATTCCTAAACACTTCTTTGATTCTGCTTTCCTCAGGAATGTGTAAATGGGACTTTAAAAATACAATTAAATATTTTTTTTCTTTGTAATGAAGATAAAAATTGTACTGCTAAAATGGGAGGCAGAGTTGTAAGGAATTTAAAATGCAGCTTTAAGGTGTGGTGATATTCGCTGTCTGCTATGCCACCATCTATTTATTAGCAGGGCAGCTGCCACTAACCAAACTGAAGAAAGCTGAGTAAAAAATGTTTGTTGATTTCATCGCTCATTTAATATTTTAATAAGAACTCAGCTAAATCACTGTTCAGTAACTGTGTCTATAACAGAGCTATGTAGAGGCTTACAGGAATAATACCAGATCAGAAAAATTGTAGAAGTGCTTTGCAGGCTTCATTAAACATTAAAAAGGTACAAGCCAGTGTGCTGCAAAGACAACTTATTACTTCTCAAGGAGAAGCTGAAGAACTGGAAATTGTTTAGAAAACAGTAGAAAAACTTAACTGAAAATATTACCTTGCAAAATTAGGAAGCGGAACACGCTAAACTGACAGAAGTTATTCACTCACACAGATGTCACAGGGGAAATGGAGTTGGTTTTCCAACAACAGCAAAGGACGCAACTGAGAAATTCCCTGAGACAAAACCCCTTTGAGGATTTCAAATACAACCTGCCATGACATCTTGCAACCACCGTGGTTTTCTGTGAAGCCCCTGGAACAGCAACAAAGCCCCAAAATCTAAAATACTCTTAACAAGAGACGCTTGCCTGAAACTCCCCATGAAAGACTCCAGCCCTCTATGTGGTGTGAAATATTTTGATTCTCTAAGAGGACATGTAAAATGTAAAAAGTTTCTGTAGATAAACAAGTGAAAGAACTTCATGGGTTAGGGAAAAAAGAGGCACTCGTTTCTGCTATGATATATAGTTTTAGAGTGACAAAGACAATTATTTTTTACAGAGTTTTCCTCTGTAGCTTCAGAAGTGGAACAAAAGGAATTTTCCACTGGGGTATGTGGATGCTCTTTCTTCTTGTCATATCATTATCTCAAGCTTATTTCCTCATTCAGGTGTTCCTTTTCCATTAGAGACTCTTGGAAAATGGAATTAAGATGAGAAAATACATATTATGAAATCAATTGTAGTCTTAATGGGCTTTCTCAATGGCAGGCCAGAGAACAGCATTGTTTTATTTAGCTTGTTTGTTATTCTCCTGACTTATTTGAACCCATAAAATATTATAACACATAAAACATAAAAAATTACACATAAAAAAACCCACAGAAAAATTACAGATGGATTGATCCACACAATAAGACTGCAGGGTTCTTGATTTCCCCATTTACCTGTGTTAAGCTCACACACCACAGAGAAAGGGATTCCTGCTGACATATTTGCCACACACAGTCCTGTACATTAAAAATAGAAACCAGCAGCTCTTCCCACACACAGGTACCCTGTGTAGGAGACAACAGAGTGCAACATCAAGGAAACCCCACATATGTGTGGCAAGAACCTTCCCTCAGTAAGATCAAAACTGTAACACTCAAAATTTCCCTGTATCTGAATGACTTCAATGCTTTTTTTTTTTCCTCATTTAAAGGGAAAGAAGCTTCCCAGTTGTCACAACACGACACTTTCTAAATGACAGGTTCCAAGTTTTGGCCTGAGATTACTTTTTTGCTTAGAGAGTTAAATCAATGATAGTATTTTTAGACCAGTATTTTTCAGAAAGGTCAGCACCAAAATGAGATTTCACAGTTGACGTAACTCCTAAAACTTTCTCAATTATTAGCTTGCAGACACCTCCAAGATTTTGGCACCTTGAGCCAGGAATTAAAAAAACCTCCACTCTGGGTATGTATAGACTCTTACATAACTTGGGCAACGAAGCAAACAGAAGCACTTGGCTATTCACAAATATTCAGCTGTGACAGAAATGTTGGAGCTGATAGGAGTGGAGAATGAATGTGGATGTCTGGAGCGTGGAAGCATCAACAGGCAGGGCAAAAGAAGGATGTGATTTATGGCATATGTTGGTGACTCCTACAGTAGCAGGTTATCAAAATTCCCACATATCTATATGCAGCTTCTCTCTGGAGCCACTCCAGGAAGAATTCCAAAGAAAGAAAAGCTTAGTTCTCTCTCTCTCTTGCAACACAGTGCCAACAGGCACTCAGTATAAATCCTCCCACAATTCCTTAGTGGCACAACCCGGGGCATGCAGCACAGAACAGACATTTTTTGACTCTGTTTTCCTTTTTTTGTTTTGTTGCCACGTGATCTGAAGATGCATTAACAGTCTATTATTTGCTTAGATTTTCAGAGATGCAGTTACAGAGAGGATTATTCCCAAAGAATTTGTAGATAGACGTGAACGGGTTGAGATGGTGAGAAAGATGGTGAGAAAGGAAGTGACACATTTTGCTTGTTCCCTTAACAAAACCAGCAGATCTCCTAGTGAGTATAACCCCTGTTTTTCCACAGACTTCTGGTGTGATTTTTGCTGCTAGTCCATTTAGGATGAAATCCAGAGTAAGTGTTACATACATAAACTGATTTGTGGCTGAGATTTAAATATCCAGGACCAAAATTTCAGTACCCAGTTAGCTCAGTTCCAGTGAGTGCCCCAAGCAAACAGTGATCTGGGGGATCTTACACATGCTCCACCTTTTCTGAGCCCAGTGCAATCCCCTGGTGTACACATCTCATTGATTTTTCTCTGACAGGACACAAATGATTTTAATGGACTCAAATAAATTCCTGCCCTACTATATTAGACTGTCCTACACAATTACTCTGAATAACCTTTCTTTTACATGCACCAGGTAATTTATGAAAAGTCCTCCTGTATATCCTTCAAGGTATTCAGGGGCTGCTCAGAGGGGCTTCACTTCTTAAATTATGGGAATATAAATAGCTTTTTTTCTGTCTTCTCAGAAGATCCTTCTCACTACATTAAACCAGACATAAATCTACAATGCTGACTCATCTCTATGGCTTGTAGTAATTCAAATTTTATATATATGCATGAGTGATCATAGATTTTAATGAAATCTTTAGCAGTAAATGCCATCCATGTCACAGTCTCACTAAAAACAACAACAACAAAAGAAGTAATTGGAACTGGGTTTATATCTATGATTGGGAGAAAAACATTAGTTCACCAGGTTAATACCCATTTCCTCAGGAACCTTTAACTAGTTTTGTAACTCCTGTTCTGTGCTTTGTGGGGTCACTGTTGCACAGAGCACTGTAGAATGTTCACAAATGAGTTAACCTATGCTAGGCCCTGGAAATACTGACCAACCTAATTACACACACAGTGCTTTGCCTCCTTAATGACTTACATCAAACCTCACCTTCTAAGTCAGCACTGCCTTTGGGAAGACTCCAAAATGATGCTAAATCAGCTAATGATATCCTAAGCCTCAAAATAAAGAAGAAATTGAGACAATATTGGTGAAGGTAGGTTTTCATTAAAATCTTTTCATAATAAATTCTTTGTCAAATTCAAGCTTTACACAATTCACAGGTTTGGTCTTCTATAAATTGAACCTTTAACACTTGCTTTTAAAATATGCCTGTACTATTTTTTTTTCCATGCTTAGACATCTTCAAAGAAATCATAAACAGACCATCATTCAGCAAAATAATTGGTAACAAATCTGACCTGTCTGAAAACCCAGGGACAGGTTGCCATGGCCAGCTCTACAAGCTTGCAAAAAAGAGGCAGAAGTAAAAGAGTTATAAAAGGAGGAGCTTTTCCTATCACAGAAAAACCACAACAGGAGGGGCAGCACCCTGCAACCTGCAACATAGTGAAGAAATAGCTGTGGTTTATCACCCCTATTTCAAAGGTCTGTTTTGATCTCCATGTGATGTACAGATTTTAAGGAAGGATGTATTTAGCTGCTGCCTTTACAACAGGAGGGATTATTCACCAGCTCCACACAAAGACAGATCCTCAGAGTTTTGGAAGAGTCTGGGGCCTGACCAGCAGGAAGTGTTACCTTTCCCTGTGGCCAGATTTCCATGTAGGAAATTATCAGAGAACATAACTCACTTAAGAGCTATCGTATGGAGAGTCTCCCTTGGAGGTGTGCTCAGTAAAGCAGAAGCTGTGGGTATAAATAAGCTGCTGGGTCTCTGTGGGCACTCAGCCTCCAGCCTTTACAACCAATCCATCCCTTCCAGAAGCGAGGACAATTTTAGGAAGTTTGTGCGACAAAAGCCTGCAAGGGGACTCCCGCCTTCTTTCATTTCTCTGTGCTTTCTTCCAGCCCTGCTAGGTTTTCCCTATCTAATTTAGTAGGGGGGAAAAGAGGGTAATATGTGCCCTGGGTATTTTTTTCAGTTTCTTTGTTATGTTATTCAATAATACAATATTTCTGAATGGAGAAAATCATGAGCAGACTATGCAAGCTTCATATCGTCCTCTTTTCATTTGTAAATAGCCCCAAAGACACCAAGCTGGCAGCCAGTTCTGTGTTCTGCTCTCCTGCAGAGTCACCTTGTTTGAGCTATCAGAGCCTGAGCAGGTCAGTGAAGAATTCACTTGGAAAGGGATTCAAGGTATGCACAAGGCAGAAGAAGACATTGCAGAGCAATTTTGTGTCTTGCTTTATTTAACTGTCCACAGGCATCCAAAAACTGGCACAGCACTGTGATTTTCAGAGAAGTCTCTTCAGCATTTATTGCACTTTGATCCAATTCTTTTTAGTTTCTTTCCCTTGAAGCTCAACTTGAAAGAAATGGCTTCCCCCCTCCCCCAGAGAATTTAGTTCTCAGCCACTGAGAGTGGCAGCTGATCCCAAAACCTGCCTCCTGCTATCTGAGAAAAGGCCAATCTGATACCCAATCTACTTGGTCAGACTTCCTAATGTGAAGAGTATCTTGTTGGAGTAGACAGAAAAGAGCATCTGAACCTTTTTCCATGGTACTGAACTTTAGGCTGGGAAGGATGAACTGACCCAAGTGTAACTCAAGACCAGCTTCACTTGTTCCCCACTTAGACATTATATAGGTTACAAGCCTCCATATTTTTGTCATGCAATAATTAAACAAATATATTGTAGAATATTTTTGAGTTATGAAATGTCCTTGGCAAAGCCAAATTTGCATCACTGAATATTAACTGATTTTCCATAAAACTTCATTTGTTTGCTGTCCAATTCTGCACAGCATGAGCAGTTTTTAACAACCTATTGAAACCACTTCACTACTTTCTTACCTTTCATTTTCTCCAGAAATTAAATACAGCAGCATATCTTTAATGTTTATTATGGAAGAAATGTAACTTATTCAGACACAAACATATTTTGAGCCCTGTTCTTATATGTGTAATGGTATAATAGATAATCCAAATGTGCTGCCAGAAAACAGATAAATACATCTTTTATTGCGAGAAACTTGTACTCTTCAGATGTAGCTTTAATTTAATATCTGTTTTGGCACTGTAGGTTACTGAGCTGGATTTTCATACTGTTACCAATAGCTGAATGCTTGAACTCCTGGCACTTTCTCTGTTCAACAGCACACACAGGGACACACTGGATTGTGTTTCTTACTTTAGGGAGATGCAGAGAGGTTCAGTGAGTGTAGGAACACTGCACAGCAGCAGCGTGGCTCCAGAAGGGAGTACCTGGACAGAACTATCAATTTAAGACCAGAAAGACATCTGGGCAGGCCCCAAAACAGGTTTTCAGAACCTGTGAAACTTTTATTCCATAGTCTCTGTAGTAGCAAAGAGCTTTCTAGAGGTCCAGGATTAAACGCTGCTGAGTATTTCGACAGATCTCACTACGGTGTTTTCCAATTACCTTTTTCTCATGGATCTTGCCAGAATTCTTGCATCCTTCTGTCTTGTAGCACCTCCTGCTCGGGTTCTCCATCTGTAAAATGAAGGGCACTGTCAGCTGATGGTGCTTTTATTGCCTTTAAAAGCTCTGTGCATGAGTTACATGTGCATGCCAAGTAAAAGTGGGTCAGATCCAAACCTTGCTTCCCTGTAGTGAACCCAGTAAACACTCACCAGTTTGCTGAATGGGAGCAAAATTCTATTTAGCTGAGGAGATTAAATCAGAATATTTATTTGATTACTTTAGCAAACAGTACTTTATACTGCAAATAAAATAAGAGTGTGGAAAACCAATTTAAATTTCTTCTTATTTTCATTCTTTCAGTAGCTTAACATAACTGTATAAATTGATACAGTTCATACTTCTTTGAATGATCTTTAAGATCTTTAAGAGTAAGGTGCCCATTTATAATGTAAATGTGGGGGGAAATAAAGCTTTCAGAAATTAGGATCTCTTCACATATCCTGACCTGTTTGTACAGTTGCTAAAATCAGGCCTTTATAGACTAAGGATATTGTGAACATAAGGTAAACTTTTGAGAAGATACAAAAATTCAAACGTGTGTATCAGAAAGAAAGAATCATGTGTTTCTTTCAGAATAGAATTCCTTGGCCTGTTGTGTTCAAATGCAACCTGCCAATATACATATGGGACAGGGAGATAATGGATGAAACCTGCAGCAATCATTGAAAAACCTCACTGAAATCAGAATAGCTTGGAGGAGCACAAACCTAATTTGATATTACTCTCTTAATAACCTTGACTAAATAGTACAGATTAATTTAGACATCCTCAAACATTTGTTTGTAGTATGAACAGCAGACCACACACTTTGGAGAGGCTGAATTAGTGCAAGATATTTTTGATTAAACCCCTGATTTTTAGTGTAGCGTTTCCCATGGCTGCAAAGCAGGTGTTTTAAAGAAGGTAATGCAAGTAAGGCTGAGAAGATACATTCTGGCAATGGGAACTTTGTAAATAGTGCTGGTAGGTACCACTGTCCACACATTCCTGAGTTAGGCACAATCAGTACATTGCCAAATACTGTATCACATGATGTGAAGGAGCCCCGTGGCCCATCTTGTCTCTGTGATGGATGCATGTACATACAGAAACAGAACTGAGAGCCAACAGCCCCAGAGCAGCATTCCTTCACCGTTAAAGCACAATTCTACTCTGCATTCAATGCCTTTTTTATTTAACTGAGCTCCTACCGGTGTAAATTCAAAGACATGGTTGATTCCCCTAGTAACTGAAATAAATGGTTATTCATTTTTAGTCCAGCTTGTGCTGCAAAGTTAATAGAGTCCTAGAAAAGTGAGCTGGGTTCAATTTTGGCTTACCAGCATTGGCATCAACTCAGCTCTCACTGCAAAATCTTCATGACTGATGAGGCATAAACCAGAAAAAGCAGAGCTTTGGCTTTCAGACTGCAGACAAAGCTTCCAAGGGTTTGCTGATATCTTTTCCTCTCTTTCGTTTCTGACAATTAAAAATATTTAAAACAAAGTCACTGTAAGCAATATACATGCAAGCACTTCCCATTTTTGTTACATATAAAGGCAGAATCACAGTTTGAGAAGAAGCACTGAAACACAAAAATAGTAAACAGTAGAGTCACTTCTCAGAGTCTATGTGTTTTAGGGATGTATTTTAGGGAGTGCTCCCCACCCCCTGATTACTGATGGCATTTCTGACATGGCACGAACTACCAGAGCCTGGTTCCATAAATCTGCTCTCTCTCTCTGCTGTGTCTGGTAGCACTTTTAGGATTTAACTGACCTAAAAATGGCTCCATTCCCTACTTCCTGCATGTTACTGGAAATGCAAAAAAGGCTCCACTAAAAACAGGACTCATGGAGAAATCAGGATTAAAGAGCAGCTAACACTCACACCATGTAACACTGAGTGATGCCAAGCTGACTGCAATGACAGAGCTCAGCATCACCTAATAGATCCTTTCTGCTGCTTGAAGGAAAACATTTAAACATTTTAAAATATTTTAATATCAAGTTGTTTAAAATGCATGTTCTATGGTACTTTAATTCAAGCTACAGTAGTGGCTTGATAAATTCCCTCTTTCTGATTGGCACATAGCAAATGTCCCAAACCTCCTCGTGGTCAGTCCCGTAAATTTAACAGGATTTTACTCCGTGTATCCTGCAACATTTTTGTATTGGAAAACCTGAACTTACAAAATCAGTATCCCTAACATTTTTGTTATACTCTGCAGTCAGACCATGACATGTGGCGTGTTTGAAGGCCTAAAATTTGCAGCTTTAAAATTTCTCTGAATGGAATAATTAGATCCCATCTTGTATGCCTGCTACAATGTTTTGCACATAAATTACTTCCAAACCACTGTGAAATTCAAGCAAGAATTTGACAGGGAAAAATAGGTATTAACTCCTATGAGTAATTTAGGCATGCCAAAACTATATATTGTTGCCTTACTTTTTTCTTTTTATGTTTTGTGACACTAGAATGGATTACATCTGCAATATTTTCTACTTTAGTTATGATTTTTGTCATTCAAATGAAGACAGAGCAAGAAAGAATGAAAATAAATTATTATTGTTCAGTGTAATCTATTTGCATTATAGTCTTAAAAAGGTAATTAGCAGAAAGAATTTATTTTAAGAGTTCAAGTCTAATAAAGAGAATTGAAACCTTAATGGAAAAATCATATAAAATTAACTAATGTATATGTATTTCTGATACAATTATTTAAATCTCCATGTTGCAACATCTGAGAACAACTAAAATATTATGACCTTGAAGTTCTAAATATAATGACTAGGATTTCTACCTTTCTTCTCAATTCTTACGGTGAAGTGTCACTGCAATTCTTTTACCCGGTGCCATTTTTCCAGTCTAGTTGTAACCCTTGTCTCAGAAATGAAGAATTTGAAACCTTTTACAGATCATTTCTAACATTCTGCATTTGGTTCTGTTGCTAATTCTATCTCCACATTCATCTACAGGCACAGTCCCATGAATACATATGTAAAGGTCCACTGAGCCAACAAAATGAAATATGGAATATTAACAAAATGAAACTTCTTTTTCCTTGCTGAATGGCATGTTACTACATATCACCAGCAGACATACCAATTCTTGTAAATCATACTCTGCCATGCACAAGAAAGGAGAATGAATCAGTAGAAAAGTAAAAAAAATCATTGGTGTGCTTTTAAAGTAATGTTAGAGTCATTCATAGATACCTGCAAGTGCGATTAGACTGTGATATATACTTGTATTTCACCAGTCATGTAAGAGATTTTATCAATGTACTGGATTTTAATAACAGAATGATGTACTCCAGGCAACTCTGCATCCCAAAATGGCACAGGCTCTGAAGTCCATGAATTATAGATATTTGTGATCTCTGCCTATTGCTATATATATGCCCCAGGTTTTAGGTCTGAGCCTCACAACGAAGAGTTACCCAGCAGCACCAAGATAACCCTGAAGGACTTTCCCAGGGAGTTTGGGAAGGCCTGCCAAAATCTCAGCCATGGTGCTAGGTAGTTATGACAGAATCAGGTCCTGTGTTCTTATAGCATTTGGGAGCCTCCCATCTGAAAAAAACCCTAAAAGTCAGCATCATCATTTTTTGGTCATATTTGAGAAATTTAGATCCTTGAGGAAAATCAGTACCAGTATTGATAAATTAATGACTTGTCTACCCTATACAGTGCAGAGAACCCAGACACTGTTTCCCTTCTGGTATATACCCAGCTGGAACACCACAGAGCAGAAAGAACACATCATATTTCTTATCAGACCAAAAGGTACTTATTATCTCAGGCACAGGCATGTACTGCTGTGAAAATACCATTTCCAGCTCCAGAAGGAATGTGGATGATGATGGATCAAAACTCTGATGCTCGTTTCATCATATGGTCCAGCCTTACTTGTAATTCCATCATAAACCCATCACTCCATGAATTCTGCTGTACGGACAAGGGTCACTGAGCTCCCTGTGTTGGTCACGGAGCCTGTTAAGATTTCCTGAAGTGACTCTTCCTTCAAGTGTTATGAAGCTTCAGGAGAAAACTCACAGTCTTTTAGTTTGCCAGCAAATTTGCATTAGCACTATGTCCTCCAGCTAGACCCCTCCTTGCAAAGAGGTCTCCTGCAAGACAGATGTGTCCCCTTTTATCTCATGGTGCATAAGGTCTAAGTCTCTCATAGAATTAATAACAGACTGCAATGAAGTACCACAACCAAGTTCCCATCCCTTTTTCTCTCCGACAAGCATTAACAAGGTGTTAAACTCAAAGCAAACACAAGCAGTAAAACACTGGGAAATGCAAAATGTGGGCAGCCCGTGCTGCTCTGAATACAAATGTAAGTGCCCGGGGACAAATTCTCTTCGAGGGCTTGTGCTCAGCTCCTCTCCCGGGGCGGTCAATGCTCAGATAAATGGGCAGGCAGCGCTCAGTTTGCTTCCCTTTGTTTAATGGGTGGCCTCGGGCTCCCTTTGTTAAGCACTATTCCGCTCTGAATACCCATCCCAAATGTCAGCGTGATTCATGTCCATTCAGCCGGTTAAACAAACAAGGAGTTGCATATTGACAGCTGGGGAAAAAACCCTCCCAAGTGTCCCGCATAATTTTGGTTCATAAGTTTTAAAACGGGAAGCTTCACTGAAAAATGAATTGCTTCAAAAAAATTTTTCCTATTTTAGGATAACAAAGTTACCTGTCTTTTGTGTGCAAGAGGGACGTTTTTAACCGTGTTTATTTTTTGTTTCATTGGGAACTCTAGTACAAGGGACCTATGCAATGCCATAATATTTGCCAACATGCATGTGGGTCCTAAACCCCCCACAATTCTGCTATTCCAAAACTTCAGGGACTCGTTTTAGTGCTTTCACACCATCCTTCTTTACAGAGGTGCAAAGCACAAAGCATGTAAAAATTCAACCGAACTAAGAGGTTCAATTTGTATCACAAACTGGATTTACTAGATGTTTGCAAATGTTTCAACATTTTTATTTTTCTACTTAAAATGCTCCTGGGTTTATGTCCAATATGAGATGTTGCTTCAGTGCTACCAATGAGTCAGAGAAGCATTTGCAGTATCTCTGTTGTATTATGAACCTTTATATGTTGGGAGGTCCATCCATCCAGTCACCTACAAACCTGATGTAACTAATGTATATCATTTTTCATTCTATCAGACATTCAATACTTACTCAAAGCTATTTTACAAAAATATTTTCTACTTTTACTTCCTCTAGACTGATAACTGCAGAAGGTAAACAATATGAGTTTAACTTTTTTTTTTCTAACACAAATAACATATAGTGTTGGACTACAGCTTCTAAAAAAATTGGTTTACTGATATTTGAGATTCATGTTATGCTAGTTTTCTTCTTAGCAAGAATATAACAGAGGCTGAGACATTTGCTTTTCTTTTTCCATTTCTATATATTATCTTTGCAGTTTTAACAAGAGTGTAGTGTTTCAAAAGCACAGCACAGTAACTGTGGTACATGGTATTGCATCTGGACTCTCTACATGTTCTAGTGCCATCTACATGACTGAATTCGAATCTAGTTTGGGGAAAAGGCAGAATGTTTCCAACACTAACAGTTTTAAACTTGGCTATTTTTCTCTTCTTTTGTTCATAAAAATAATGTAGATTTATGAGACGAAAAAGCTATTCTGATTTTGATTTATTTATAATCAACAAGATGATCTACAGAGATTTGGACTTTCAGATGTTTGGATTGAATTTCAGTTGTGTCTCAGCACAACAATTATTATCACAAAAATAATTCTACCTTCAGCTGAAGTCTATCAGACCAGACAATTTAAAACATTTTTAAGAGCTGGGCTATTTTAACTGCTTTGCAAAATACCAATCTACCAGATGGAGAAAGAAAACCCTAGCAAGAAAATAATGGGACTATTATGTAACTTTAAGCTATGGAAGTTTCTCCATCGATAAAAACATCTGTTGTGTCTATATGTGTGTGCATATGTTTCACAGAAAAAAATGGCATGTCTGTGTTCACATGTGTATGTCCTGTGTGTAGTACAACAGTTGAAGGTTTTCCATTTGAGAAAATTATTTTAGCAAAACTGGCTTTTTTCACTTTCACATGATTTTGTTGATATTCTCATGGAAAAAAATATGAAAGAGTGAAAGAAGCAGTTCTGCTATCATGTGAATTAATGAATTCTACTTGCTTATGAGTTTAGTCTGCTGGTTGCTTATGTCAGTGCCAGAGAAGGCCTAGCTAACATCTTGCCATCTATTCAAGTGTCAGAAGGGATCTCTCTCAACCAAGAGGGGAAGAACAGCCAGTAGCTCAACAGTGGGGTCACACAGACAGACTCACTCCTTCCTTTCCTCTGTCTCCTCTGCCGCTTCCCATGTGATTGCACAAGCCTGGTTTCCCTAAGAAACCACGCTAAAAAGCCTCTCAAACCATAAAAATCAAGACTTATCCTTCCCCTGCGAG